TGTGTGTGTGTGTGTGTGTGTGTGTGTGTGTGTGTGTGTGTGTGTAGAACGATGGCGTGAATCATTGAGCGGTTGTGAACACAACAAACGTGCAGTTGCACGAAGAAGACGGCAGCTCGCGCACAAAACGCACGCACACACACACACACACACACACACACATCACACATACACACATGGATGTGGGACTGACCCGCTGTGCATTGGGGTCCTTCATTGTCTCGGGTCCGTCTGTGCAGGGCTCCAGATCCAGTCGCTGCCGAACAGCGGCGATGTTGTCCGCTTTCTTGTGCAGAAACGCGCGTAGCGTCTTCAGGAAGAAGTGCTGCAAACACACACACACACACACACACAAGCGAAGCAAAGGTGCATGCAAATGTGGATGTGTATTTGGATGTACACGCGTGAATATGTGTGAATGTGTTAACATGTGAGTGCATGTGCATAGTTTGTGTGCGTGTACGCATGCAACAAACTTGGTACGGTGACAGGCAGGCAATCGTGGATACACCAGTGTGCACAATGCATCCCTCACCTCTCCATCAAAGTTGAGGCCCACGGGGCAGTATGGCGGGCGAAGCGGTGCGCACAGGTCGCTCTCAAGCAACTTGGACGTCATATCAACAATCTACAAGAGAAGAGTACAGGAGAACAGAACGGGCCAGACAGCAAGTCATGCACACGTGAGCTTGTGATGTGTGTGTGCATGTGTGCGAATGGGTGCACTACTAGAAGCAACAACACAGCAGCACACACAAGATAGACATACATACACACACACACACACAAAATAGATACGCACGCACACACACACACACACACACACACACACACACACACACACACAAAATAGATACGCACGCACACACCATACACACGACAGCCACGAGGGTCGGCTCTGTGGTGGCGTGCTTGGACTGCGTGCATGTGACGCTGAAGAGGCGCTCGAGATCGTGGTGGCGTGCTTGGACTGCGTGCATGTGACGCTGAAGAGGCGCTCGAGATCGACGGGGCAGTTGTCCGTCTCCTGGAACTGCGGATCCATCCCGTCCTCCCCGTAGCAGAACTGCACACGCAATGAGGCGGTAATTGTGATGGTGATGGTGTTAGTGGTGGTAGTGATCGTGACGGTGGTAGTGGTGGTGGGTGGTGTGAGATAGATGACCAAGACTCGCTTGACGATCAGCAGGCCAACACAGCGCCCACCACCCCATACACCAAACCATCACTATCACTGCAGCTACCACGGACACCGCGATGACAACCACAGGTGCCTACCCTCCCCTCCTCATTACCTGGATGATGCCGTTGCTTGAGTTGCGGACGGTTGTGTCATAGCGGGCGGACAAATCCTCCAGCGCCTTGACAAGACGCCGCTGCATGTATCCCGTCTCGGCCGTCTTCACAGCAGTGTCGACGAGCCCTGCAATCCACAACAAGGGGAACAGGGCAGGCAACCAAAATATAGACACATCATAGCATGTGAGAGAGGATGAGTGTGCATGTTTGTGCATGTGTATGTGTGTGCGCATGTGTGAATGCAGGCGTACACAAGTCCGTTAGAGGCAGGATGCACGTGTTTGACCCCACCAATCTCCCACACCACCTCCGATTCCTCCCACCATGCACACAAACAATACAACAAGATGAAAGTAACGAGCATCGTCGAGTTGCAATCGTGGTTGTGCTGCACGCGGACCTTCGCGGCCAGACATGGTGTGGAAGAAAAACTCTGTTGGGGTGAGGCCCGTGTAGAAGCTGTTCTCCACAAACCCGCGTGCAACCGGTTCCCTGCTCTTCTCCTCCTTGAAGTGCGGCAGTGGGCTGGTGGTGGTACAGGCAGCGGTGGCAGTGAGTGGTGATGGTGGTGACCATGGCACGATCACGAGCACATACCCATGTGCTCGTGACGCCAAGGAAACGAGTGCAAAGCATGGCAAGAGATGGAAGAAGCAAAACCAGTCAACAACACCAGCCGACAACAAGAGCCGGTAAAGAGAAGAAGGCAACAAGGTGGGTGCGTGGTCTCACCGGCCATCAAATCCGTCAGGAATGCGCTCGCCATTGATAATCTGCTGCCCGACACACGCAATCATCTGGCGCAGATGCAGTCGCAGCGACGGTATGTTAGCTCATGACAGCATGGGGACAGCGGGCACTGTATTGCACACATGCATGCACAGATAAACCAGTCAACACACGCGCACACGCACGCACACACATGGGTTGTACCTGGGACAGCCCTTTGATCCGCACTTTGCCATGATCTTCGGGGCGTTGCTGTTTGGGAGCAGCTGCCGGCACAGCAGACCCGCATCCTCGCGAATCTGTTGCAGGGGACGTATGCACACACACACACACACACACACACACACACACACACACACACACACACACACACACACACACACACACACACACACACACACACACACACACACACACCAAATTGGGTAGAAAAGATTTGTGAGAAATGAAAATGTGAGCAATCAAGAACAACAACAGCCAAAGGATGGTTCACCATCTCCAGCCCCTCTTCGCACGGCTATGTCCACCTATGCAAGCTTGTGTCCGTGCGCACATGTGTGTGTGACTGACCGCGCTGAGGTCCTGCTTGATCTTCGCCTCGACCGTCTGCTCTGCGGTGCAACCGGGCTGGCACTCCACGTTGCCCTTCTCGAGCTGCTGGATGTATCCCTTGCACCGCACCGCTCCTCCCCCGCCGTCACCATCTTCTCCTTTTCTTGCGTCAGGTACGCGCTCGGCGTCACGTCCACACACACACACACACACACACACACACACACACACACACACACACACACACACAAGTGAAGAGGGACAGAGTGACATGAGCAATCAAACAAAAAGCATTGCAAGGAGATGCAACTGCGTGCGAGCGAGTGCGGGCATGCATGTGTCGTGTGGGTGTGCATGGATGTATGCGTGCGTCTGTGCGTGTGTGCATGTGCCTTTGCGCACTAATACCCCTGCTTGCATGTATGTGTGTGTGCTCTCACCGATGCCGATGGAGAAGCCGCGGTTCATGAGGAAGCGCGTGGTGAGTTTGCTCAGTCGCTTCATACACTGCAGGCCGCACACACAGCAACGCAGAATACCGACCCGTGAGATGAACGAAGAAAGCGGTGGATGCAGGCGCGAAGCTCCACCACAGCGAACGGCGCACCATGGACGCACAATGCATCCACACGCATGTGCACGCACATACACACAAAATACACGCGCGCACA